TGTGGCACCTTAGAGACTAACAAATTTATTAGAGTTAGTCTCTAAGGTGCCACAAGTACTCCTGTTCTTTTTACGGATACAGACTAACACGGCTGCTACTCTGAAACATGTTTATGTAGCTAACCTAGGTGTACTGAGAACAACTCAGTGCTCGGTACAAGTTCTTTCCTCGATGAATGTATTGCTTCTGCAAGACAGAACATTCCAAAGGTAAACAGCCAAACAGTCATAGATTATGGAATTAAAAATAAAATAATAAAAATCAGGAAATTCCATCAAACAATTATGTTAAGAGATTGCTTAACTTTACAAAAAGACTTGTAAATCGGGAACTGCAAAACTTAAAATTGCATACATAACCTTAATTCTGGCTCCACTTGCATGTTGTTTATGATTCAATCTTTTCCTCCTCTATCACATGCTGTTTCTCAAAGTGTGCTGTAAAATATTCCACACACGCTTCTAAAATGCTTTGTGCATGGTGAGTGGTGAATTCGCTTCTGATGTACTATAGCACTTAATGAATGTGGCAAGGTCCATCCACATTCTTGCACGTTTTGTACAGTCAGTTTGCCTATGTAGTGTAGTGTGCATTAGGAGCAAATGCTGAGCTATTCTTTTTATGTATATATAATTCCTTTTATTTTTTAATCAGATGGACTGTATAATTTACAATCTGGCTAATTTGGGGCCAAGGCACCCCTGGGATAGCTTTTATATTCTGGGTGAAAGGGCCAAAGTGACATAAAAAGGGTCTAAAAGTATAAGCCCCAGTTCCAGCCAAGGGAGATTTCTCAGGAGCAGGAACTGAAAAAGACAGCCATAGGCTGATTTATGAGGACGTCCTCAAACTCTGGATTAGTGAAGGCACGTCTCAGGAGGGACATATCAAGAGCACGGCTTCAATAGGTATTACTTTGGGGTTTCTGGGCAGTCCTACTGCATCTAGGAATCTGGGGACAGGCTGCTGTAATTTACAAAGGCTCTGCTAGAACAGCCTAGAATTGAATTGGAAGGGTGCAAGAGTGCTATAAAGATACATTACCACACCCCTCTCTGTCTAGCTGTGTGCTGGTCCCCTCAGAGGTGCAGCAAAGAATATCACTCTTACTATTCAAGGAATAAGATACTACTTAGAGCAGGGGTCTCAAAGTCCCAGCCCGCTGGCCATCTGCGGCCCAAGAACCTCCCCACTGCGACCCGTGGAGGAGAGACGCATGCAGACAAGCTGCCAGCAATGTCTGCTGCAGGCGCCTCCTCCCTCCCCCACAATCCGTGACCTACCCCGTGGGTGATTAAGGAATCACGGAAGTGGCGGACCCATAGATAGGCCGCAGCGGCCTACCTCTCGGTCCTCTTACCCTCCCCCATGAGGGCCCTCGCGGCCCGGAGGAACTGATGAAAATCCCCCCATCGCTGGAGTGCAAGTTGTACCTTGTTGCGGGAGCCACGGACGTCCTCAAGGAGCTCCCATAGCTCCTCTCTCAGCGTACGGGGTGGGGTGGGGTTACTGATCTATGGCTTTCCCCAGTGGGGCCCCTGTCACAACCCCGTGGCCCACCGAGACGGACAAGCAGGGGGCAGACCCTCGACGTGGCATCCGATGGGCCGACGCCACGTGGCCCGCCTCAGATCCTGGCTCAATGAGGGGCAGCGGAGGGAAAATAGCAGCCTCTGGTGGGTTGGGACAGGGAAAAACAAAAGCCGCTCCTTGGGGGTCGTCCTCTGGGCTATGGAAGGAGACAGCCCCAGTGGCAGCAAAAGCATCACGGGAAGTGGAGGGGACCGGGACGGAGTCTGTGTCAGGGGCAGGGACGGAATCAGGAATAGGGACAGGGGAAGGGGCGATATTGGGATCGGGGGTCCCAGCAGCCAGGCCACTGGGTCGGGGGGGTGACACCCCACAAATGGGCTCAGGGATTTGCGGGGAGGGAGGTGGGCCCTCAGTGATGCCGGGCTTGTGCTCCAAGGCAGATGGTAAGGCCACAGCATCCTTTAGGTGGAGAATCAACTACGGGGCCCCCACCCAGAAAGGAGGTCGGCTGCCCCTCTGCCACGAGGGAGTCCCCTGGCGACTCGGGTCCCGGCTGCGTGACACTGGCCGTCGCCTCAAGAGGCTCGGTGGCTGCTAGCAGGGTGCCATCTGCCGCCAGGTTGGTGGAAGAGTCCAGGGGCTCCTCAGAGGCGGGAGCAGAGGCAGTGGATAAGGGGACGAAACACAGGGAAAGGGGGGCCGAGGCAAGGTCGCTCAGATCGAGGCCCGCTGGCAAAGGGTCGTCCTCCCCCTGGGTAACCAGGGTGAGACCCAGGGCCTCGATCTCCTCATAAATGGAGGGGAGATCACCTTCCACCACCCCAGGGCTCTCCCTGCCAGCACCCGAAGCGACGCTCGCCTTGGTGCTTGCAGGGGCTTCAGATTGTAAGGGGGCGAGAGGGGCCCCATCAGGGGCTTCCATAGGAAGGGACTCCGGAGGAGGGGCAATATTACCTTCCGGTGCTGCCACGGCGTCCCCAACCGGCACCAGTAAATGGGAATTGGCAGGGGGCAAAGCGGAAGGCTCGGCATCGGTGCCCCCTTCCTGGTCTTCTGGGGGGCTACCGCATCAGATGGGAGGAGCGGAGCTCGAGTCTTCCACTTGCCCCGCTTCCCCTGTACTAAGGACTAGCCCTCCATGGCATCATCTGGGGGCAGGGGTTGGGTCAGGGAGCAAGGGCGAAGGCTCAGGGACTCGGGGAGGCAACGGTGGGGCAGCATGTAGGAGGGAGGATTCTTCCTGGGGCATGCCCTTTTCTATGCCCGGCGGTATCCCTACCTCACCCTCCTCCACAGGCCCCAACAGATCGCAGGTGGCAGAGGCGGGGCCCTCCCGCTCGTCTGGGCACACTGGGGGAAGATACCCCTTGGGCCCGAGCGGGAGCGTTGGTGGGAAAGAAAGGAGGAGGGGCGGCTTCGGGCACCGGACAGCCAAGGGCACCGGTGATGACGGGGCCGGCGCCCTGCCGTGGCTCGGGGGTCCCGGATGCCCCTCCATGCCGGGCCAAGGGGCAATCCCTCCGGACGTGTCCCATCGCCCAGCAGAGGTAGCACCGCGCCTCCCCCGTCGAATAATGCACCCGGTAGCGGGCCCCCTGGTAGGGGACCAAGAAGGACCCCTCGAGCACCTCACCATCACGTGCCGCCGGCAGCAGTTGTAACTGTACCTGCCAGCGGAACGAGAGGACATGACTGAGGGCGGGGTCTTTGCAGCCCAATGGGAGAGGGCTGACCACGGAGATTGGCCTCCCCAGGGTAGAGAGGGCAGGTAACAGGGCAGCATTAGGAAGGAAGGGAGGGACGGCAGTCAGGACCAGTCAGGCGCCCAGGTCTTCTAGCGGCTCCAGGAGGACAAACACGCCCCCCACTGCCAGGCCCATCTCCACCGCCTCCTGGGCGGCAGCCTCCGATGCTAGGAAGAAGACGACCTTTCCATACATCTTGGAGGCTGCCACAATGGCCGTGGGCCCCACCATCCTTGCCAACGCCAGCACGTAGGACTCCACGTGGGGCGAGGCGGGCACCAGGAGGCAACGGACACTGTGCTTCCTGGTCAAGGTGGGGAAGGGGCCCTGGCCACTATAGATGGTAGCAGAGGCGGAGGTTGGTTGAGACGATGATGCAGCGGCAGGCGGGGGGACTGCCTCCACCTGGGCATATGCCCTGGTGGCCGGGGGAGGGACACCTACAGAGCTGGTGGAGGGAATGGCAGGGAGGGACGCCACGGCCGGTGGCAGGGCTGCGGCAGTGGGGGCAGCCTCCGGCATGGAGGACCTGGCCTTTTTGGCAGGGCCTCTACCTTTCTTTGTGCCCTGGCCCTTCCTGCCGGCTGGGGGGGCTCCTCCTGAGTCAGAGGGGGCGAGGGACGTGGCAGCAGTGGAGGTCACCTCGTTACCCGCCGCTGCCGGCGCTCCAGCAGGGGCGTTAGCAGGTGGCACGGCAGCGGCGGTTGAGGTAGAGGCTAGGGGGTTCGATGGTGGGGCAGGTGGAGGAGGGGCAGCAGGATCTGCCCGAGGGATCCCACTCACCTTGTCCCCTGCCATAATGAGGACGGGGGGAGGACAAACACTGGAGGGGGCAGGGAGAGGGGAAGCAGGTCGACCACTCCTCCCCGCTAGGCTGCTGGCAGGGGAGGAGGGTGCCAAAAAGGGGGTGGTCTGGATGGGGGTCTATCAAGGGCTAGGGGTCAATCACCGACTTGGGGAGGGTTTCTGGCTCCTCTAGTTGCACTAAAGAAGGGGGGCTATAACAGCATTGGGGGGGTGCAGTGAGACAGGTTCAAACTAAATTGGGAGGGGCACAAGCGCATGGGAGGGGACATGGGCGCATGAGGGGAGGGGCTAATCAGGGCAAGGGGACTGCGGGGGAGGAGAACGACCAGGCGGGGAGTGAGGCAGAGGAACCACAGAGCTAGCTTCAGAGGCTGGGGCGGGTCAAACAGACAAAGGCTGCAGAGGGAAAGGGCGGGATAGGCAAACAAACTGGAGCTAGCAAGGGGCTGGGGCAAGGGAGAGGGGCAAAAGGCTGCAAGGTGCAAATGGGTAGGTAGCAGGGGCAAAGCTGGGGGCTTGCTGCAGGGGGGAGGGGGTCAGTCCAAAAAGGGGTGGGGTATGTGCACCCATGTGCTCTTGTAACAAAAAAGAAAGTCAGTTTAGGTTGGCTGCTGCTTCATGCTCAATGGTGGCAACAGGGCATGGCAAGCCTAGGTGAGCAGCTGAGTACCAGAGGCAGGAGCTCAAGGCAGATGGTGAGTAGCCGGTGCTGGTGGTGGAGGGGGCAACTATGATGGTGGGGCGGGGCGGGGAGGGGACACAAATGGACCAGGGGGCAGGATCCACGCCACACCCCCTGTGTCCCCAAAAACACAGTCTAGACCTCCATCACAAGAGCACAGTTCAAAAGTTATTCAGTTCGTGAGGGCCCCCTCCACGGTGGTCTGTAGAATTCCTATGCACTCCCCCACTGGCAGATGGTCCTATTCTCCTCCTCCTCGGGGCTCCAGCAGCTCCCCAGCAGCAAACACAGCAGCTCCAGGTGGCAGTCTAGTGGCCAGCAGGAAGGACCCCTCTCAGCTGGAGGTGGTGGTGGTATCCACAGCAGCAGGAGCAATGGCTGGGGTCCCTCTCTCCCCTCTTCTGGGGAATGGGCCAGCAGCCCCCGCCCCCTCCCAGGGGCTGTAGCTGGAGCAGCAGCAATCAAGGGTGTGGGGGGGTCTAGTAGCCAGCAAGCAAGCAGGTAGCAGAGAGGGGGAGGAGGGGTCTGGTACAGCCAGGGAAGTAGCTGGAGCAGCAGCAGTTGTAGGGAGAGCCCAGGGCATAGTAGCAGGAGGAGCAGCCCCCTACCTACCTCTCTCCAGGCTAGAAGGCTACAGTGATCTATGGGAGAGATCTATTAGCCTCAGAATAAGCAGGTTTTCTGTTCCCTGAATGACCAGACCTATTGGGATCCAGGAAGTGGGCG